ATTATAAGCGCAGGAGTTGTGTCGTGCGATTGTATTGAACGAAAATGGACGTGAATAGGATTTCCTTCCAAATACGCTGCTTTGAGGCGATCGATACTGATGCTTTCGTTGGTTCCGTTCTTATCTATTATATAGTACTTAGATTCGCGTTGAAGAACTTTGAAAGGTCCTTCATATGTTGATTCGAGAGGTCGTCGATGCGAGTCTCGACGCACGAAAACGTGTGTACTATGTAGTAAGTCAGGTTGAACGAAAACATCAGTTGATTGTGGTCGAGTGGAAACAGGCTTAACTGAACGCATTGCGTTTGTAAGCCTGTTCGCGTAGGAGGTTAGATCCATGTCCATCGAAGAGGATGAAGGGTCCACGAATTCTCCTGGAAGTCGAAGGGTCGTACCATAAACGAGTTGAGATGCAGTGTATCCAATGTCAGATTTCACTGCATTGCGTATGCCTAGTAAGACGAGTGGAAGAGCGTCAGTCCACTGAGAAATGTTTGAGGCTGATAGTGACGCTTTTATTTGTCGGTGAAAGCGTTCTACTAATCCGTTTGCTTGTGGGTGGTAGGCCGTCGTTCGAAAGCGAGTGATTCCTAGTTTCATGGTCAGACAACGGAACAGTTCAGATTCAAACTGACGTCCACGATCTGTAGTAATGGTTGTTGGGCAGCCGAAGTTTGCTACCCACCTCTCGACGAAGGCGCGGGCCACTGTTTCAGCAGTAATGTCTTTGATGGGTACTGCTTCTGGCTATCGAGTTAAACGGTCTACGCAGGTTAAAAGATAAGAATATCCATTTGAATCTGGTAAAAATCCTACCAAATCCAAATGTACATGATCGAAGCGAGCATCGGGAGTTTTAAACGAGCCTAAGGGACATTTGTTGTGTCTAATAACCTTAGATTTCTGGCAGCTTACACAGGAGCGTGCCCACTCCCTCATATCTTTATTCATACCAGACCAACAAAACCGTTCTGCTATAAGCTTGATGGTTGCACGAACACCTGGATGAGAAAGTCTGTGCAACGTATCGAAGACGTTGCGTCGATATTGTTTCGGTACGATTGGGCGATCTCTACCTGTAGATGTGTCACACAGTAAGGTTTCCTTACCTGTTCCAATCTGTTTAACGCGCAGTTTAAAGGTTGTTGACGATAACTCGTGCTGAAGATCAGTGTCTTCTTTCTGAAGCTGGGCGAGTTTTAGAAGGTAGATTCCTTGAAAACCGTTCAAGGAAGTTATTCGAGACAAGGCGTCTGTGACTACATTGTTTGCCCCAGAAATGTGTTGACTATCTGAAGTAAACTGCGAAATGTAGTCCAGTTGTCGAGACTCACGAGGTGAGTACTTGTCTGAAGAAGAGCTTAAAGAGAAAGTAAGAGGTTTATGGTCGGTAAAATTGGTGAATTCTTGGCCTTCGATAGAGTGTTAAAAATGCCGTACTGCACAGTACATAGCTAGGAGTTCCCTACCGAATGTGCCGCACCTCGATTCCGTGTCTAGCAACTGTCTAGTGAAAAATACCAAAGGTTGCCAGGAGTGGTTAACCCATTGTTGTAAGACTGCTCCGATTGCTCAGTCGGATGCGTCTACTGAGATGCTAATGGGCGCTTTAGGGTCCTGATGAGCAAGCATTTCTGCTCGTGCGATATGTTCCTTAACCGTGGAGAATGCTTTTCGAGTAGTGTCATCTAGATTAATGGATTTCGCATTTCCACAAGGTTGGTCGGTAAGGGGTTTCATAAGTAACGCGCATTTCGGTATGAATCGTCTATAAAAACTTACCAGACCGTTAAACGTGCGCAATTGCTTGATGATGGTCGGTTCTGGGTAATCCAGAATGGCCGCCACTTTTGTTCTAAGGGGTCGAATGCCTTGCGCATCTATAGTGTGTCCTAAGAAGTCTCAGGATTCGGTTCTGATTTGGCATTTCTGAATGTTTACGGTAATGCCATGTTTTTGTAGTCGGTCAAAAACAAGGTCCAGATGCTGGAGATGTGATTCTCTGTCCGGACTTGCTATTAGACAGTCATCAACGTATGCATGTACGAAGTTGAGACCTCGAAAAACGTCATCTATGAACCTTTGGAAAGTCTGTGCCGCGTTTCTCAGACCGAAAGGCATTCGCAAAAATTCATAGAGTCCGAAGGGCGTTATAATAGCGGTTTTTGGAATGTCTTCAGTGGCCATAGGAATTTGGTTATAAGCTTTTACCAAGTCAATTTTTGAAAAGACAGTTGCACCTTTCAAGGTAGCTGTCAAATCGTGAATGTGGGGCAACGGGTAACGATCGGGAATGGTTTTTGCATTCAATCTCTGATAGTCACCAGTTGGACGCCAATCGTTGCTGTCCTTTTTAGGGACCATGTGCAACGGAGATGCCCATGGGCTATTTGACGGTCGTATGATTCCTAAGTTTATCATATGGTCGAATTCGTTTTTCGCTAACCTTAAGTTTTCGGGGGCCAGTCGGCGTGCTTTCGAGAAGACAGGTGGTCCTGTAGTCGTGATGTGATGTGTAACATTGCTGGTTACACACGGCAATTTCGGTTGCGATTGGTAAATGCCAGAATATTTATCGAGTAGTGGTTGGTAGAAGGGGTCTATCGTGTGCTTAATAGTGACTGGAGATAACCTGCAACCAGAAAAAGAAGTCAGGCAAACAGATAAATTAGTGTTTCCGTCTACTAACCTCCGTTTGCGCGTATCGATAATTAAGTTGTGGTGTTGTAGAAGGTCGATACCAATGATTGGCATAGAAACATCTGCAACAACAAAGATCCAGTGAATGGGTTTGCGTAAACCCACGTTAAGATAAACATACCTTTGGCCATACGTAGCGACAGGCTTTCCGTTTGCCGCCTGTAGATTTAAAACGGGCTCGTGTAGCCGGTCGTCGGAATTCCCTGGGAGAACGCTAACCTCTGCGCCAGTATCTACGAGGTAGCGAACTCTCGTTATCACATCAGTGACATATAAAAGACGGCTATGTTCGCCGGCTACGGTCGCCGTTAACGCGTGCCGGCTTGGAAGTTTCCCGAAACGTTCTTCGCGTCGACGGATTTCGCGTTGGGAAAATTGCAGGGTTTTCTGCAATTTCTGGCGGACTTTCCGTACTGGTTATGGTACCAGCACCAATCAGGATTACCCGTCTCTCGAGTTCTAGATACAGATCGCCTACGTGATGTGCTTCTCCGCGGGGTAAGTGATCGTTTACGGTCGTTACACAGTTTGAGATAACGCGTAAGTGTATGACATAACTGTGTTATTTCATTCTGGGTCGTTTGAGGCTTTTCTTTGACTGAAAAAACCTCGGCGTCAGAAGATCTAGTGATTTCGAGAATGCGGTCGGCAGATGCAGCTAGCTCGTCTACGGCGCTGTTTTGGAACGAGACCAAGACAGCTTGCACCTGCTGAGGAAGTTTGGATAAGAAAAGTTGCTTGAATAGGCCGTCATCGAAGGTTCTTTGGCCAATTACTTCTCGCATTCTTTGCAACATGTCTGTGGCAGAACTGTGTTGCAGGTCGATGTTGTTGAGGAGTTGGTCTAACCTTTGTCGATCGGTTAGATCTCCGCGTTTAAGGATGGCCTGTTTCAGTGTTTGGTATGGATCAGAAACATCACTAGTAAACATACTAGGTGTTACGTACCTGTTAAATTCGCGCGGTAGTGCCTTGACTACTGCGAGGAATTGTGCACGCGCATCGTTCACACCGTGCTCGTAGAAGTCGGCTTCTGCATAACAAATCCAGGCTTCGATGTTGTCTGGCCAGAAAGGAATAAGTTGGAAAGAGGGTGGGGGCACAGTCTTTAACTTAGATACTTTAGGGGTCTGTTCAGTCATAGTAATATATCAAGTACGAAAAGTGAACGAGTGGCAAATATATATATGAACCCAAAAACACGGAAAAAATATCACAATGTAAAAAAAAGAAATTAAAATAAGACAATGATATATAAAATCACAAAAAGGAACAGACTCACAGTTTACAATATGGTGTACCAGATCACGTCGGGCTCACCAATGAAGATGCCACAGGTATTCGGAGTTTGACAACGCTTTAACCAGTAACACCTAATATGAAGCGTACCCACCAAGTAAAATCAAAAGACAGAAGCGAGGAGTTCGAAGATATATTTGATAAGCTATCAATATATCGAGGATCGTTTGCACTAATCTGGCTAGCGATTGAGGCAGATGTTGAGCACGGCGTTAACACACGTGATCTGGTGCGGATGCTTGACCGAGCGCCTTCAGCTAAATGAGTCCACTAAAACTGTGGTCAGCATCCAATGTCGAAAACTTACAGAGCTATTTGATTTTGTGGAATTATTTACCGCTACAATAGTAAATAGGATTATCTTTGTTAACTTGTTGTAAAAACCTACTTCTCCATTGTTCGATTTTTACGTTAAACAAATATTTAATATAAGTTTTAGTCATCCTGTTTCATTGTTTTTTCTAATTGTCGTATTGTGACCATGACCCATTTGTTAGTTAAATAATGGACTGACGTTCTTCATAAAAACAAGAGTTTGCCAAAATAAACCACAAACATTCCACAAAGTTTCTTGTTAACAATCAATGCAAACATTCCTATCGGAGAACAAATATAGAACAGAAGAGTAAAACATCACATTTGTTAAAAACGTGTTTTTATTTCTAGAAGATATTTGAATAGAAAGTTCATTTTGTGAAAAGGATGTATTGTTGAATTATATTGATTGATAGTTTTACAATTTCATTAAAATTTAAACAATTTGTATACTATATAATTGCTGTTAAATAGATTATGCTGGTTATAAATTTATGTTGTAAAGACAATAAACTGCAAATATTAACGAACACATTTTATTCTGTCTAAAGTATCCCATAAATAGTTTTGAGTGAATTTTTGATAAAAATAACAAACTAATAAAATCGTAATCACTTTACATTATACAGAGTCAAAATCACAATTACCTGTGATATAAGTGTTATTCAAAACTGTAAAAGATTGCTAATGGATAGGATTCCAGCGTATTTTACGACCAACACAAGCATCGTTCCACCATTTCGAAACGTTTGGGAATGTATACGTTTTCAGTTTATGAGCAGTATGTGCTAATAAGCATATAGCGCATTGAGGTAAAGGCGACCATGCATCTATGGTCCCATGTTCATGCCATGCAAAGTACTCATTGTATGCAGTATCGTTTCTGTCCAAATACTTCAAATAGTTGGCAAGTTTTTCTGGGGATTCAAACTGATCCACATGAATAAACGAATGAGGTGGAGTGACACGCTTGTACTCTTCATATGAGGCACCCATCACAACTGGAATTACATTGTTGCTATGTTAATCAAACAAACCAGATACAACAGTTGAATGCTTTAGTGAGGTGATGGGAATGACAAATGAAGTGAGAGAAAATAAATTATTCATCACAGATAATTACACTTAACCACCCTGATCTATAACTCCGCCCGGAGTCCCTCCAAGGACTACTGTCGGTCCCAAGTCCAGATAAAAGAGGAGGGTTGAGCATGGGGTTAGCGACCCCATCCCGTAGAAAGCCAACTTGCTAATAGACGCTAACCTGAAAAAATAATTCAATTCATTTTCACTCGGCCATGGGAGTTAGAAGGTCTTCATTTAGAAGAGTTATGATGCCTCATGTTGAAAGCAGAGTTCCGTCGGAAGTCACGAGGCTGATATCCCTTTGTGAAAACTAGGGCAACCATTAATTTAGGCACATGGAATGCTCGTACAATGTGGGAGACCGGGAGAGTCTTCCAACCTAGAGGTGCTTGGGATCAGTGAAACGCATTGGACGCAAGTTGGACAACAACGACCAGCTTCAGGGGAGCTGTTGTTATACTCCGGTCATAAAGAAGAAAATGCCCCACATACACAAAGAGTTGCATTGATGCTCTCCAAAAATGCACAAAATGCACTTATAGGATGGGAATCTCATGGACCAAGGATCATCAAAGCCTCCTTCAAAACAAAAAAGAGGGGATTTCGATGAACGTCATCGAATGTTATGCGCCTACCAACGACTACAATGAAGATGCTAAAGATCAATTCTACAATGGGCTGCAGTCAATCGTCAAGAAGAGCTCAACAAAGGACTTGACCATTCTGATGGGAGATTTAAACGCCAAGGTTGGAATGGACAACATCAGATATGAAGACATCATGGGACGACACGGACTCGGAGAAAGGAACGAAAATGGTGAGAGATTTGCAAATCTATGTGCCTTCAATAAACTGGTCATAGGCGGGACTATATTCCCACATAAACGCATACACAAAACCACATGGACTTCACCGGATCACACCACACAGAAACAAATTGACCATATCTGCATCAACTAAAAGTTCAGGTGGACGATGGAGGACGTGAGAACCAAGAGAGGAGCTGATATAGCATCAGATCATCACTTGCTGGTCGCCAAGATGAAATTGAAACTCAAGAAGCACTGGACAATGGGGCGGACAATATCACAAGAGTTTAATACGGCTCTTCTTCGGGATACTGACAAACTCAACGAATTCGAGATAGCCCTCACCCATAAGTTCCAGGTCTTTCATGATCTACTCAATGGAGTAGGAACTACTATGGAGAGCAACTGTAAAGAGATAAAAGAGGCAATCACTTCAAAATGTCATGAGGTTCTTGGCAAGAAGAAGCACCATCACAAGGATTGGATCACTGTTGATACACTGGCTAAGACTTAAGAAGGGAGGAACAAGAAGGCGGTAATCAATACCAGCCAAACAAGAGCAGAAAAAGCAAAGGCACAAGCTGAATACACAGAAGTAAACAATCAAGTGAAGAGGAGCGTCAGAACCGACAAACGTAAATATGTGGAAGATTTAGCAATGACGGCGGAAAAGGCTGCCAGAGAAGGAAACATGAGACAACTGTATGACACAACAAAGAAACTCTCTGGAAATCACCGTAAACCAGAACGACCAGTGAAAAAGCAAGGAAGGAAAGGTAATCACTAACATTGAAGAACAATGAAACAGGTGGGTAGAACACTTCAAAGAACTCTTGAATCGACCAGACTCACTGAACCCACCCTACATCGAAGCAGCACTCACGGACCTCCCAATCGATGTTGGCCCACCAACAATTGAAGAAATCAGCATGGCCGTCCGACAAATCAAGTGTGGCAAATCAGCAGCAGGACCAGATAACATTCCAGTAGAGGCACTGGAAGCGGACGTAGCGGTAACTGCAAGGATACTCCACATTCTTCTCAATAAGATTTGGGATGAGGAACAAGTACCAACAGACTGGAAAGAAGAACTTCTGGACAAAATACCAAAGGTGATCTCACCAGGTGTGATAACTACAGGGGAATCACTCTTCTGTCAATACCAGGAAACGTCTTCAACAGAGTATTGTTAAATAGGATGAAGGACTCTGTAGACGCCCAATTTCGAGACCAACAGGCAGGATTCCGTAAGGATAGATCGTGTACAGATCAAATCGCAACTCTACGGATCATTGTAGAACAATCAATTGAATGGAATTCATCGCTCTACATCAACTTCATTGATTACGAAAAATCATTCGACAGCGTGGACAGAACAACACTATGGAAGCTTCTTCGACACTACGGCGTGCCTCAGAAGATAGTAAATATCATACGGAATTCCTATGATGGATTAAACTGCAAAATCGTGCATGGAGGAAAGTTGACAAACTCGTTCGAAGTAAAGACCGGTGTCAGGCAACGTTGCTTACTCTCACCCTTTCTCTTTCTCCTGGTGATCGACTGGATCGTGAAGACGTCAACATCTGAAGGGAAGCACGGGATACAGTGGACATCTAGGATGCAGTTGGATGGTCTAGACTTCGCAGATGATCTGGCTCTCCTATCGCACACGCAACAACAAATGCAGGAAAAGACGACCAGTGTAGCAGCAGCCTCAGCAGCAGTAGGTCTCAATATACACAAATGGAAAAGCAAGATTCTCCGATACAACACAACATGCAACAATCGAATCACAATTGACGGAGAAGATTTGGAAGACGTAAATACCTCTACATATTTGGGCAGCATCATTGATTAACACGGTGGATCTGATGCAGATGTGAAAGCGCGGATCGGCAGAGCAAGAGCGGCATATTTACAACTGAAGAACATCTGGAACTCAAAACAACTATCAACCAACACCAAGGTCAGGATTTTCAATACAAATGTCAAGACAGTTCTACTGTATGGGGCGGAAACCTGGAAAACTACGAAATCCATCATCCAGAAGATATAGATGTTTATTAACAATTGTCTACGCAAAATACTTCGAATCCGTTGGCCAGACACTATTAACAACAACCTACTGTGGGAGAGAACAAACCAGATCCCAGCGGAGGAAGAAATCAGAAAGAAGCGCTGGAAATGGATAGGACACACATTGAGGAAAGCACCGAACTGTCACAAGACAAGCCCTCACATGGAATCCTCAAGGCTGAAGGAGAAGAGGAAGACCAAAGAACACATTACGTCGGGAAATGGAGAGTGACATGAGATGAATGAACGAGAATTGGATGGAACTAGAAAAGAAGGCTCAGGACAGAGTGTGTTGGAGAATGCTGGTCGGCGGCCTATGCTCCATTAGGAGTAACAGGCGTAAGTAAGTAACCCCGATCTATCTTTTGAAAATGAGTGATTTGTCACAGTCTACTAAAAACATGGTGTGTCTTGTTGAAACTGACTAGACTTCATCAATTTTGATGTATTGTTGTCATCGAATAATTACGGTACTGCACTCATCTAACAAATCAATTTCACACACTCTGAAACATATTCATCTATGTTATTTAGCTCTTTGAATATTTGGTACAACTCTAAGTAAATTTGTTGGTCGAGAGTTAGTAGAGAAACAGCAAATGATATAATATGTTCATCAAATTCCACGTCAAACACATGGAGATAATACACTTCAGCTATCAATTGAAAGATGTTGGAAATGTAGTAAACAATTAACGATATTATTAAAATTTCATTGTTTACCTACATTAATGCATTTCTGTGAATCTTTTCCGTAATATAATCAGGGCATAAACTATTTTCAAAACTCAAGTAGAATTTATAATGCTTTCTAAGTAGAGAAAAACATTGAGCATCGACTTCTCTAGGACATGTCATTGTACCACACCCACCATAAATATCAACCTATGAAATAAATCAAGGAAAAAGCAATTTATTTCTTCAGCATTGAAAGAAACCTGGTAATTACAAAATAAGTAATAAACAAAAATATTTTGCAACAGGATATCAGAATATGTTATGGAATCTAGTCGGCTATAACGACCACGAACATTGTTACACAAAATCAAATTCAAGAGGTCGATTTGATGAATAATATTTATTGTATATATAAGTATAAACTGGTTATTTATAAAAAATTCAGAAATTTTCCAAAGTGAACTTGATGTTCTCAATTGTAAACAAGCTGGGGAAATGTGTGAGATGAGAGAGGGTTAATGAGGTATTTATGAATGTGGAAGGTTTTACTTTCATGTGTCATCTTACTTCTAATGTTACGAAGCATATAGTCAAAATCGACAACTGCAATGCCTATAACTATCAACAGGACAATACACATATGTATCTAGAGTAATGACCGAAAATTCGATAATACATTCATACTCGTCAAAAAGCACTATCTTATATCCACGTGAAATATTACACTTGCAGTAATACACATAACACCAATCTAGGCTAACGTTTGAGTATCGCAGTCATATTCCTTTTTCGCTAGCATAAAATAAGAACAATAGTCATTTATTTTGCTGAGAAAAATTTCAAGAAAACTGTGATATTTGTGAACTTATGCGACCACTGTATCACATATTTATAGATCAAGTGTTATTTATCTCGAGGCCTCACTGTTACCAACCCTCTTGTTCCCACCATCTGATTGAGTGGTTTGTTTCACTAACCAAAACTTTCGAAGGAATGACAGTCTTGGGTGTTTGACAAACTGTCTAGTTACAGGACTTTTACGTAATTCCAGAATTGTAAATACAGAATATCTAGTTGCTCATTTGAAATGAGCTTTCACTTAAAATTTTATAGTGATTTGATTTTTTCCATAAATGGTCTGAAGTTGAATTGTTTCATTCTAGTCAGTGAATAAACAAGTAGAAACTCATTATTACTCAATAGTGTCCTATTGTTCTAAACTAATGTCTCAATATCATTTGAGTTACAAATAATAAATAACAAATGTTGAACAAGCCACCTTATGCTAAAAACCATACTTGGATGTTTCATCTGATATTCTACTTTTAATGAATTTGTTGATAAATTTTACTTAATAGGATTCAATGCAGGTTTTAAGGCCGTTCACATGCAATTGACGAAACCAGAGGACGTATTGACGAATGCTTTCACATTTCCCAATATCTGAAGTAAGTCGAAAGTTTTTAACTCACTTCATTTTCCAATCCATCAGCGATTCTAATGTTTGGGGGAGATTCATGTACAAAAATGAACCATAGCTGATTTGGTGGTCTTGGACCTTTAGGATGCAGGTGATCTGTCAAGATTATAACATCGGCTTCAAGCCATCTTGATCTGTCGAAAATCAGTTCACAATCACAAGCGAAACATAAGGAGAAGTTTCGAATAATATTGATACGAAGGTTTCCATAGTTGAGAATTATTTTTCTCTGCAAAATACAATTAACCGAAGAGATACTTCATTCGAATAAGCGAAGGCTATACAGAACGATAGAATTTTGGTGATAATACCTACATCAGGCTTTAAAATATCCGTAAACATTAGTAAGTACTGGTAATTATTTTCATTTAGATAAGATTAAAAGTTGTGAGTGCACGACAAGTCTGACAACAATACACAATCCATAGACTTTATTTCTAGAGAAGTTCACTTGACAATTATGACTTATGAGGTATGATAAGTAGAAGTTTAGTACGGTGTCGTATAATTATCTGTTTTTATCTTTCAATCTCAATGAAAGTGAAACTTGCTGTAGTAACTTTCTAAATAAGTATATTGATCTTATGTTTGTCTTTACTAGCTTAAAACTGAACTAAAATCGCTGGTCTCACAATTGCATTCCATTCAAAAGTTGACTTAAGACAACGCTGCATATTAGTCATTTCAGCATCTGCAAACTATTGTAGCTTCACAAACCTGATTACGAAATATCCATTTGTCTTAAAGTTGGCTGCATCTTTTGAATAATAAAGCGGTTGTATAAATGTAGAGCTTGATAACAAGTTATTATAGAGAATATTCTACATTTGTATTTTCTTGTGGTAAAAGACCACTGCAGACCGCTGTCAATTTGATTATTTTTGTGGAAGAGACCTTTAGATAGCACTTCCAAGAGTATGAAGATTTCTTGTATTGACACCTATTTTAATATGAATTATGAAAACTTGTAAGCTTTCTGAAATCTAGTGACTTGAATAAAGCCGAGAATATTGAGTGGTTTTAATGTCCCAACAATATGTGACGCTGCTTCGACGATTGAAGCTGGGATGTCAACTTAGTTTAATGCTTCCTGACCTTATATTATTTACTGCTAATATAGTTTTAGTTCAATTGAAATTGTGTCCAACTCTGATTGATAAACAGACACAGAAATTTCTTTTTCATAATAATGCTGACTAAACAACCAGAACATCAGTACAACTTGAGTGTATGCAATATCATAATTAGGTAAAAAAAGATAGTCTGAAATAAGAATATCGTGATTAATTCATTCGTATTGTTAAGCAAAAATAGGGTCAGAGTGATTATGATACAATGTATAGAACAAAATGAGAAGTCCTGTCAACTGAAGCAATTACCATCAAAATCTAGTAGAAAAGTCATTCTAAAAAACTCACGGCAGATGGAGTAGATTTCACTTCATATAATTTTTCAAGATCTTTCTCAGTAAATCCGAGTGTAATTTTATTTTCATACCTCGTCATTTGTGATGCAATATAATAGGTCTGATTTGAATTACGCGCTGAACTTGAATAACTTTCACGTGGTAATACATTGTAGGAGAAACCATCATCATTTCGTGATAAGCCGAATTGTTCCTTCCATTTAAATTGAAAAAGTAATTTTGTCAGTTGATAACTTGTGCATACTATGATTGCAAGTTGAACTGCCAGTACAACTAAACGCCTAACATGCTTCATGAGGAAATGGAATTGACGAAATGCCTGATTCGATCTTCTGTAAGTAAGTTAGCAATTATGCGGAGGGTTATACTATAACGGACCAACTACTCAGAGCTTCTTAGATTTCAGTGTTTTGTCTAGCTAACAACAGCTAGTGAATGAAACTGTGGGAAATCAACCAATTTCGTGACTGAATAGCTTCATCTATGTTGCTGGTATAAAATAAGTTATGACAATTACTGTTCGTCATTTGCTCATTTCATTTTAACGCAAATTTTAAAAATGTTTAGATATTAGTCGGTTTTACATGTGAATACGTGTGTACAGAATGAGTATTTTGTCTGAACACTAATTTCAGTGGTCATTTAGTCACTTTAGTACTAACTTTTTTTATGTATTTGACAAAATTTAATGAATCAATTAGGAGAAACATCTGGCAATTATCTTCCTGTTTTCATCATAATACATCTAGTGTTAAATAACAATAACGTTTGCCAGTTTCTCAGTATTGGTAGGATGATAAGAATCACTCTTCGATATCCCCATTCCTATTACATTCACTGAAACTTAATGGTTATTGACGTTGATCAACCTTCCACTAACATAATTTCTAATATCCAAAACTAATGCTCACTATCTCAGTGATTAGTGAAGAGATACGAGCAGATAAACATGCTAATTCCGTTGCATATTGACATTAGTCAGAAACTCCATGTTAGAATAGTAACTGCCATAAGTATTTTATTACATGAGTATCGCTGAATCATCTTCACGTTAGGTATGATAATTAGTCAACGTGAATTTACCCGATATATTAGAATTTTACGTGAAGTGAATTTAGGGTCACAACAATGCTGTCTCGATTTGAATGTTCAAAATCAAATGATGCTTGTCTTTTTCATTCATATCCTCGAGGCTTTAAGATTAGATGTCATAATCTTCCAGAAATCATTATAGCTTCCAGATGGAGCTCGTATTCCGAAAGAAGAAATGAAACCAACAGAGATAGGGATGTTCTTACAAAGCTAGAAGTAATCTACGGAAAGCAATTTTATGTAGACGTTTCCATACAATTTAAAAATTTATGAAATTAGTCATAAATAAATTACAACGGACTTGTTGATGATTCATTTTTACTCAACTGTTTATTTGGATGTATGAAATATATTCAAACCACATTTCAATTCTCTTTGATAAAAATGAATACTGTTATCCAAATTGAAATATAATAGTTATGAAAAACAGACTAATTGGTAAATTAAACATACCTGTTATTTTGTAGTGAACCCATTGAACTATTGTATTATTTGTGCAGTACAATGTAATTTAAGCATCTATTCCAGTATATAAATTAATGTGTGAGTTTATTGAGCTCATGTCTGCACATCAATATTCATTTATTCTCTCATTGGTTGTAAACACAAACAATCAATAATTTATTTACAACCAATTAACACTCGTAAGTAAACATGGTTTTGAGTTTGCTTACATTGTTCCTATTCGTTTCTTTTCCACTCTTTTGTATATTGTTTTGTACTACTTATTTATATTCAATAAGCAGTTGTTACGCAAGTTGTAGTGCATTATTCTGAATTGTTCACATATATTTATGACGTTTATTGTACTTATCATTGTATTATTACTTTGTCTTAATCACTGTAGCGGTTATCCACAGTTTCGTGCATTTGTTTAAACGCAACACTTTTCACATAGTTTTGCTCTTGGTTCGGGTTTCGGTTGTTCATAAACTGGAATCAAATTTAAACACAGCTATCAGCTGTCCTTTGTAATATCGTCTGTTATAATAATTCTTTATGTTACTGTTACAGGAAGCCTTTATATTTTTATACTTGAAGGACGCGTTTAAGCGCACCAGACACTTCACAAATTGAGGTTTGTAACTAAATGTTGTGTATTATTCAATTGTAGACAATACGTTGTTTTGGAACTTTGGTTTCGGGCGTATCTCAATCAGGTGAACTAATCGCTTCGATAGATCTAACACATAAATTTCCAACACTCACACAGGCCATTCGGTTCTTTGTGTGCTTGCTTTCTGCACGCTGGTGGAATTTTGATAATCATTAGCAATAAAGCATCTCCACAACTGGTGTTCAGGCTTTTGAATAATCTCGAGATTTAGCCTACATAAATACTCAGTTAACGGGATACTATTCATTGCAGTCAGATATAGAGGAACTAACCTCTTCAGTTTCACAAATTCTCCAAATGATTATAATTTCAGTAGTTCTTCTAATAATAATCATATACAATCGGTAATCGGGATTATTCCGATATTTCCAAAGTAAATTTAACGAGTTCTTGGGTTTGACGGAACACATCTATTGTCTTACTAAAGAAGCAGATATTTACTTTAATTCAACAATATTCTTCATCCGGTCGAAGATTATCTCTAGTCACAGTTATGTACAAAATAGGTCCATCTCATCAACAATTACTCGATAAGTACCAAATGCAACTAAAATTGCCCGGTGTAATTAGCAATGTCACACAACTCAGGCTCGAGGTGGAACAATATATTTAATATGAATAAAAGGTGTATAACAACATTCAAGAATAGCCGAGCCATGCCATCCGATCAATTCGAATTAACTCAATTCATTTTTCCCGCCTTCTTCATCGTTCGGTTTTTTCTCCGCATAAAATGTTGAACATCCAATTCCCCAGTTGTCTCGTTTTTAGCTTTGATGATTGTGTGGTTACGGCCCAAGGGCTGTCACTACAGTGTCTTTATCGTCTTCGTTACTAGCGTTGGTGGGTGAATAACATTAGACAACATCCATTTTGACCCCTTCTTCTGTGTTTTGAAGGATGCGTAATGATCCTGGATTCATGAGATTTCCATCCTTTGAGTGATTTTGGCGGCTCTTTGGACGAAATCAGAGCAAATTCTTGTGTGCGCAAAGAATTTTCGGTGAGACTATAATTTATGGACGACCTTTGAGAGACGCTAAAATAACCTTAAGAGTGTTCACCTAATAACTAGGACCAAATGTGAGTTATAAACCAGCGTGAGGAATTAGAATTATGATTTGTAGTTGACGGTTAGGTTTAGGAACTATATTTTGAGATTTCATCTTGAACTGACACTAGCTATTATGCCAAAACTCGATTTAGCCAAATGGATGAGTGAATTTCACGCCAAAATTCGAGACATGTTATCATATGCTTGATTGGTTCATCCACAAATTAGTTTCGCCACAATTTTATCTTCATGACTAGAGTACGACAACACCTCTCCTGAAGCTAATCTTTTCTGTTCAGCGAGGGTTCAATGGGTTTCGCCTATCCCAATAACCACTAAGTTGTATCGCCTCATTTGCGCAGCCATTTGGTTGTTCCTCTTGATTACCATGAGGCGTCGTAACTCTTTTAAATAAAGACACTTCAAATCGGATGATCGAGTTTAAGTATTTTTAATTGTTTTGATTCTGGTTAGGATTTGTTTCGGGGTTGTGTTCAATGGGATGGGGTTGCTGACTTCATGCTCAACCTTCTTACTTTACGCGACTCGGGACCAGCAGTAACCACAGGAAAGCTACAGATGTAGTTACTTTTCATTATCGACTTCCCCCAAGTGCCGTGGTATGAACGAGGGTGGAGAAATTCAGATCTCCTCGAAATGCTCTCACATAGCTTCTCGTATACAGAACCTGTCAAAGAAGACCTCCTCACTGCTTTCTCAGAGCGGGGGTGCTTTTTACGAAGTTGAGAGGACGATAAGTGAAGATTCGGTGGTTTAAACGGGTTGGTGGACGTGGAGAATCCACATGAAGTTGGAATATCCTGATTTCAAACCAAGGGTGAACAAGGTGAGGACGCCACAGGTATTTAGAGTTTGACAACGCTTCAACCAGTAACACCTAATATGAATCGTACCCACCAAGTGAAATGAAAAGACAGAAGCGAGGAAATTCGAAGATATATTTGATAGGTTATCAATACATCGAAGATCAACTGATATAATCTGGCTAGCGATTGCAGGAAATGTTGAGCTATTTATTTTGGGAATTTATTTGCCACTACACATCACTCACCCCCGTAGTGAGGTAGTGATGACTGTAAGAAGTGGTCAGCCAGAAGTTAAAACCCAACGAGTTTGTCGTTGGTAAACACTCTTCTGAGAGCTTGCTATGTTAATCAGAGTCTGGTTGTCTTTCCTTACGGTAAGGGACCATATAGTACAATATAGTAATTAGGATTATCTTTGTTAACTTGTTGTAAAAACCTACTTCTCCATTGTTCGATTTTTACGTTAAACAAATATTTAATATAAGTTTTAGTCATCCTGTTTCATTGTTTTTTCTAATTGTCGTATTGTGACCATGACCCATTTGTTAGTTAAATAATGGACTGACGTTCTTCATAAAAACAAGAGTTTGCCAAAATAAACCACAAACATTCCACAAAGTTTCTTGTTAACAATCAATGCAAACATTCCTATCGGAGAACAAATATAGAACAGAAGAGTAAAACATCACATTTGTTAAAAACGTGTTTTTATTTCTAGAAGATATTTGAATAGAAAGTTCATTTTGTGAAAAGGATGTATTGTTGAATTATATTGATTGATAGTTTTACAATTTCATTAAAATTTAAACAATTTGTATACTATATAATTGCTGTTAAATAGATTATGCTGGTTATAAATTTATGTTGTAAAGACAATAAACTGCAAATATTAACGAACACATTTTATTCTGTCTAAAGTATCCCATAAATAGTTTTGAGTGAATTTTTGATAAAAATAACAAACTAATAAAATCGTAATCACTTTACATTATACAGAGTCAAAATCACAATTACCTGTGATATAAGTGTTATTCAAAACTGTAAAAGATTGCTAATGGATAGGATTCCAGCGTATTTTACGACCAACACAAGCGTCGTTCCACCATTTCGAAACGTTTGGGAATGTATACGTTTTCAGTTTATGAGCAGTATGTGCTAATAAGCATATAGCGCATTGAGGTAAAGGCGACCATGCATCTATGGTCCCATGTTCATGCCATGCAAAGTACTCATTGTATGCAGTATCGTTTCTGTCCAAATACTTCAAATAGTTGGCAAGTTTTTCTGGGGATTCAAACTGATCCACATGAATAAACGAATGAGGAGGAGTGACACGCTTGTACTCTTCATATGAGGCACCCATCACAACTGGAATTACATTGTTGCTATGTTAATCAAACAAACCAGATACAACAGTTGAATGCTTTAGTGAGGTGATGGGAATGACAAATGAAGTGAGAGAAAATAAATTATTCATCACAGATAATTACACTTAACCACCCTGATCTATTTTTTGAAAATGAGTGATTTGTCACAGTCTACTAAAAACATGGTGTGTCTTGTTGAAACTGACTAGACTTCATCAATTTTGATGTATTGTTGTCATCGAATAATTACGGTACTGCACTCATCTAACAAATCAATTTCACACACTCTGAAACATATTCATCTATGTTATTTAGCTCTTTGAATATTTGGTACAACTCTAAGTAAATTTGTTGGTCGAGAGTTAGTAGAGAAACAGCAAATGATATAATATGTTCATCAAATTCCACGTCAAACACATGGAGATAATACACTTCAGCTATCAATTGAAAGATGTTGGAAATGTAGTAAACAATTAACGATATTATTAAAATTTCATTGTTTACCTACATTAATGCATTTCTGTGAATCTTTTCCGTAATATAATCAGGGCATAAACTATTTTCAAAACTCAAGTAGAATTTATAATGCTTTCTAAGTAGAGAAAAACATTGAGCATCGACTTCTCTAGGACATGTCATTGTACCACACCCACCATAAATATCAACCTATGAAATAAATCAAGGAAAAAGCAATTTATTTCTTCAGCATTGAAAGAAACCTGGTAATTACAAAATAAGTAATAAACAAAAATATTTTGCAACAGGATATCAGAATATGTTATGGAATCTAGTCGGCTATAACGACCACGAACATTGTTACACAAAATCAAATTCAAGAGGTCGATTTGATGAATAATATTTATTGTATATATAAGTATAAACTGGTTATTTATAAAAAATTCAGAAATTTTCCAAAGTGAACTTGATGTTCTCAATTGTAAACAAGCTGGGGAAATGTGTGAGATGAGAGAGGGTTAATGAGGTATTTATGAATGTGGAAGGTTTTACTTTCATGTGTCATCTTACTTCTAATGTTACGAAGCATATAGTCAAAATCGACAACTGCAATGCCTATAACTATCAACAGGACAATACACATATGTATCTGGAGCAATGACCGCCATTCAGTGAGTGATCAAACTGAAAAGTGAGCACTTACTATGCGGCTGATGTGATGGTCATCACTACCATGAACATCGCTTTTCAGATTTATTACGCGTCAGACTACAGAAAATTTGAATTTAACGACGAAGTCGAAATCCCAGCTTTATACTTTGTCGATATTATGGTACGTTCCTAATATCTATTGAAAACAATCACTAAAGTATGTAAATTCACTTAATTTCGACACACAAATTGGCTCAATAACAACCCATATGGCAAATGAAAATTATCGTGAGAGTCATTTAATGACAGTCATTATTTGTGACCTAGCAGTTGATGAACTTTGGATCCAGTAAATAGAATCAGTGATAGATGAATGTTATGGTAAATCTCAAAGAATCAGTGGAAAGTTCAAAGCATAATAAGTAGATAAGGTTCAAAATTATAAATACGTTGCAGCAGACTCGTACTCACTTAGTCTCTTTCTTGTATGAATCGTTTGCGTAATAAATGTTTTACGCACTATACTAATAACTATTTTGATGAATGAGTTACTAACTATTAAAGCAATGAGTTGTTTTATGAATTTTAGTAGAACAAAAAGATTAACAATGTCTTCTCACTGTTCAATCAGCTTTTGCTCACACCATTTTTATATACATGTGGCATGCTGTATGTCTGTATGACCACACTATTCTTGGACTAAACAAATTGATGAAAATCTCTACAATAATCTAACCAACGAGGCTAATTTATGCTCCATCCACTTCTTAACTTGTGCTTTGATCTGATGAAAAAGGTTACCTGAAATACAGCACTAAAATATTTCATATAAGTCTTAAAATCGTGTTGTCGTTTGAGCTTGTTATGTATTGGAACCATTGTAGGCAAACATATGAAATGAAATCGGTAACTATATAATCTGGGTTCTCACTTGAATATAACGAGATAACTCGTTTGCGTAAATCATTCTCGGACTTTTAGGTTGACAGTTGCTTACAAACCATGCTACCATTTTAGATTTACCAGTGGCATAATTACGGGAAGGAAGTACGTATTTTGTATCTGGACCATGACTAGCAACATATGGGATATAATTGTGATACGGTAAATAAATTGTTGAATCCATTCGATAAGAGATTGTGTAGTTGACCTGAGTGAAAAACACCAAAATATACTAAACATTTAGATATGTGAAGAATAATTTTAAAATGCCAATACGAAAAATATTTCCACAGTCTAGTCATATACTGGTAACTACTAAATCGAGAGTTGATGTTTTCCAGTAAATGATTGTTTTTGGTATCCTTTGAAAAAGGATTAAGCCGCGTCAAACCGGGACATTTTATCGAACTATGAGCGCTCATGTCTCATGAATGCTTTTCCTCTTGCATCGAGTCGTTTGTGTCAGTGCATGATTTCTTATTAGCGAAAATATTTTGCAACTAATCAGGATAAACTTAATCCATAATACACATCGTTATTAAGAAGCAGTCATGAAACTACGAAGTAAATACTTCCAAACCTTACCATTGTCACTTCAATGTTTTTAAAGACAGTATCGCACAGTTGTATATTATACGATTTCATTAAGGTCTATTTTGAAATAAAGCAAAATACATGTATGTTTGTTACTGCAATGTCTCAGTTGAATTGTTTCATTCTAGTCAGTGAATAAACAAGTAGAAACTCATTATTACTCAATAGTGTCCTATTGTTCTAAACTAATGTCTCAATATCATTTGAGTTACAAATAATAAATAACAAATGTTGAACAAGCCACCTTATGCTAAAAACCATACTTGGATGTTTCATCTGATATTCTACTTTTAATGAATTTGTTGATAAATTTTACTTAATAGGATTCAATGCAGGTTTTAAGGCCGTTCACATGCAATTGACGAAACCAGAGGACGTATTGACGAATGCTTTCACATTTCCCAATATCTGAAGTAAGTCGAAAGTTTTTAACTCACTTCATTTTCCAATCCATCAGCGATTCTAATGTTTGGGGGAGATTCATGTACAAAAATGAACCATAGCTGATTTGGTGGTCTTGGACCTTTAGGATGCAGGTGATCTGTCAAGATTATAACATCGGCTTCAAGCCATCTTGATCTGTCGAAAATCAGTTCACAATCACAAGCGAAACATAAGGAGAAGTTTCGAATAATATTGATACGAAGGTTTCCATAGTTGAGAATTATTTTTCTCTGCAAAATACAATTAACCGAAGAGATACTTCATTCGAATAAGCGAAGGCTATACAGAACGATAGAATTTTGGTGATAATACCTACATCAGGCTTTAAAATATCCGTAAACATTAGTAAGTACTGGTAATTATTTTCATTTAGATAAGATTAAAAGTTGTGAGTGCACGACAAGTCTGACAACAATACACAATCCATAGACTTTATTTCTAGAGAAGTTCACTTGACAATTATGACTTATGAGGTATGATAAGTAGAAGTTTAGTACGGTGTCGTATAATTATCTGTTTTTATCTTTCAATCTCAATGAAAGTGAAACTTGCTGTAGTAACTTTCTAAATAAGTATATTGATCTTATGTTTGTCTTTACTAGCTTAAAACTGAACTAAAATCGCTGGTCTCACAATTGCATTCCATTCAAAAGTTGACTTAAGACAACGCTGCATATTAGTCATTTCAGCATCTGCAAACTATTGTAGCTTCACAAACCTGATTACGAAATATCCATTTGTCTTAAAGTTGGCTGCATCTTTTGAATAATAAAGCGGTTGTATAAATGTAGAGCTTGATAACAAGTTATTATAGAGAATATTCTACATTTGTATTTTCTTGTGGTAAAAGACCACTGCAGACCGCTGTCAATTTGATTATTTTTGTGGAAGAGACCTTTAGATAGCACTTCCAAGAGTATGAAGATTTCTTGTATTGACACCTATTTTAATATGAATTATGAAAACTTGTAAGCTTTCTGAAATCTAGTGACTTGAATAAAGCCGAGAATATTGAGTGGTTTTAATGTCCCAACAATATGTGACGCTGCTTCGACGATTGAAGCTGGGATGTCAACTTAGTTTAATGCTTCCTGACCTTATATTATTTACTGCTAATATAGTTTTAGTTCAATTGAAATTGTGTCCAACTCTGATTGATAAACAGACACAGAAATTTCTTTTTCATAATAATGCTGACTAAACAACCAGAACATCAGTACAACTTGAGTGTATGCAATATCATAATTAGGTAAAAAAAGATAGTCTGAAATAAGAATATCGTGATTAATTCATTCGTATTGTTAAGCAAAAATAGGGTCAGAGTGATTATGATACAATGTATAGAACAAAATGAGAAGTCCTGTCAACTGAAGCAATTACCATCAAAATCTAGTAGAAAAGTCATTCTAAAAAACTCACGGCAGATGGAGTAGATTTCACTTCATATAATTTTTCAAGATCTTTCTCAGTAAATCCGAGTGTAATTTTATTTTCATACCTCGTCATTTGTGATGCAATATAATAGGTCTGATTTGAATTACGCGCTGAACTTGAATAACTTTCACGTGGTAATACATTGTAGGAGAAACCATCATCATTTCGTGATAAGCCGAATTGTTCCTTCCATTTAAATTGAAAAAGTAATTTTGTCAGTTGATAACTTGTGCATACTATGATTGCAAGTTGAACTGCCAGTACAACTAAACGCCTAACACGCTTCATGAGGAAATGGAATTGACGAAATGCCTGATTCGATCTTCTGTAAGTAAGTTAGCAATTATGCGGAGGGTTATACTATAACGGACCAACTACTCAGAGCTTCTTAGATTTCAGTGTTTTGTCTAGCTAACAACAGCTAGTGAATGAAACTGTGGGAAATCAACCAATTTCGTGACTGAATAGCTTCATCTATGTTGCTGGTATAAAATAAGTTATGACAATTACTGTTCGTCATTTGCTCATTTCATTTTAACGCAAATTTTAAAAATGTTTAGATATTAGTCGGTTTTACATGTGAATACGTGTGTACAGAATGAGTATTTTGTCTGAACACTAATTTCAGTGGTCATTTAGTCACTTTAGTACTAACTTTTTTTATGTATTTGACAAAATTTAATGAATCAATTAGGAGAAACATCTGGCAATTATCTTCCTGTTTTCATCATAATACATCTAGTGTTAAATAACAATAACGTTTGCCAGTTTCTCAGTATTGGTAGGATGATAAGAATCACTCTTCGATATCCCCATTCCTATTACATACACTGAAACTTAATGGTTATTGACGTTGATCAACCTTCCACTAACATAATTTCTAATATCCAAAACTAATGCTCACTATCTCAGTGATTAGTGAAGAGATACGAGCAGATAAACATGCTAATTCCGTTGCATATTGACATTAGTCAGAAACTCCATGTTAGAATAGTAACTGCCATAAGTATTTTATTACATGAGTATCGCTGAATCATCTTCACGTTAGGTATGATAATTAGTCAACGTGAATTTACCCGATATATTAGAATTTTACGTGAAGTGAATTTAGGGTCACAACAATGCTGTCTCGATTTGAATGTTCAAAATCAAATGATGCTTGTCTTTTTCATTCATATCCTCGAGGCTTTAAGATTAGATGTCATAATCTTCCAGAAATCATTATAGCTTCCAGATGGAGCTCGTATTCCGAAAGAAGAAATGAAACCAACAGAGATAGGGATGTTCTTACAAAGCTAGAAGTAATCTACGGAAAGCAATTTTATGTAGACGTTTCCATACAATTTAAAAATTTATGAAATTAGTCATAAATAAATTACAACGGACTTGTTGATGATTCATTTTTACTCAACTGTTTATTTGGATGTATGAAATATATTCAAACCACATTTCAATTCTCTTTGATAAAAATGAATACTGTTATCCAAATTGAAATATAATAGTTATGAAAAACAGACTAATTGGTAAATTAAACATACCTGTTATTTTGTAGTGAACCCATTGAACTATTGTATTATTTGTGCAGTACAATGTAATTTAAGCATCTATTCCAGTATATAAATTAATGTGTGAGTCTGATTGAGATCATGTCTGCACATCAATCTTTATTTATTCTCTTATTGGTTGTAAACACAAACAATCAATAATTTATTTACAACCAATTAACACTCGTAAGTAAACATGGTTTTGAGTTTGCTTACATTGTTCCTATTCGTTTCTTTTCCACTCTTTTGTATATTGTTTTGTACTACTTATTTATATTCAATAAGCAGTTGTTACGCAAGTTGTAGTGCATTATTCTGAATTGTTCACATATATTTATGACGTTTATTGTACTTATCATTGTATTATTACTTTGTCTTAATCACTGTAGCGGTTATCCACAGTTTCGTGCATTTGTTTAAACGCAACACTTTTCACATAGTTTTGCTCTTGGTTCGGGTTTCGGTTGTTCATAAACTGGAATCAAATTTAAACACAGCTATCAGCTGTCCTTTGTAATATCGTCTGTTATAATAATTCTTTATGTTACTGTTACAGGAAGCCTTTATATTTTTATACTTGAAGGACGCTTTTAAGCGCACCAGACACTTCACAAATTGAGGTTTGTAACTAAATGTTGTGTATTATTCAATTGTAGACAATACGTTGTTTTGGAACTTTGGTTTCGGGCGTATCTCAATCAGGTGAACTAATCGACTCGATAGATCTAACACATAAATTTCCAACACTCACACAGGCCATTCGGTTCTTTGTGTGCTTGCTTTCTGCACGCTGGTGGAATTTTGATAATCATTAGCAATAAAGCATCTCCACAACTGGTGTTCAGGCTTTTGAATAATCTCGAGATTTAGCCTACATAAATACTCAGTTAACGGGATACTATTCATTGCAGTCAGATATAGAGGAACTAACCTCTTCAGTTTCACAAATTCTCCAAATGATTATAATTTCAGTAGTTCTTCTAATAATAATCATATACAATCGGTAATCGGGATTATTCCGATATTTCCAAAGTAAATTTAACGAGTTCTTGGGTTTGACGGAACACATCTATTGTCTTACTAAAGAAGCAGATATTTACTTTAATTCAACAATATTCTTCATCCGGTCGAAGATTATCTCTAGTCACAGTTATGTACAAATTAGGTCCATCCCATCAACAATTACTCGATAAGTACCAAATGCAACTGAAATTGCCCGGTGTAATTAGCAATGTCACACAACTCAGGCTCGAGGTGGAACAATATATTTAATATGAATAAAAGGTGTATAACAACATTCAAGAATAGCCGAGCCATGCCATCCGATCAATTCGAATTAACTCAATTCATTCTTCCCGCCTTCTTCATCGTTCGGTTTTTTCTCCGCACAAAATGTTGAACATCCAATTCCCCAGTTGTCTCGTTTTTAGCTTTGATGATTGTGTGGTTACGGCCCAAGGGCTGTCACTACAGTGTCTTTATCGTCTTCGTTACTAGCGTTGGTGGGTGAATAACATTAGACAACATCCATTTTGATCCCTTCTTCTGTGTTTTGAAGGATGCGTAATGATCCTGGATTCATGAGATTTCCATCCTTTGAGTGATTTTGGCGGCTCTTTGGACGAAATCAGAGCAAATTCTTGTGTGCGCAAAGAATTTTCGGTGAGACTATAATTTATGGACGACCTTTGAGAGACGCTAAAATAACCTTAAGAGTGTTCACCTAATAACTAGGACCAAATGTGAGTTATAAACCAGCGTGAGGAATTAGAATTATGATTTGTAGTTGACGGTTAGGTTTAGGAACTATATTTTGAGATTTCATCTTGAACTGACACTAGCTATTATGCCAAAACTCGATTTAGCCAAATGGATGAGTGAATTTCACGCCAAAATTCGAGACATGTTATCATATGCTTGATTGGTTCATCCACAAATTAGTTTCGCCACAATTTTATCTTCATGACTAGAGTACGACAACACCTCTCCTGAAGCTAATCTTTTCTGTTCAGCGAGGGTTCAATGGGTTTCGCCTATCCCAATAACCACTAAGTTGTATCGCCTCATTTGCGCAGCCATTTGGTTGTTCCTCTTGATTACCATGAGGCGTCGTAACTCTTTTAAATAAAGACACTTCAAATCGGATGATCGAGTTTAAGTATTTTTAATTGTTTTGATTCTGGTTAGGATTTGTTTCGGGGTTGTGTTCAATGGGATGGGGTTGCTGACTTCATGCTCAACCTTCTTACTTTACGCGACTCGGGACCAGCAGTAACCACAGGAAAGCTACAGATGTAGTTACTTTTCATTATCGACTTCCCCCAAGTGCCGTGGTATGAACGAGGGTGGAGAAATTCAGATCTCCTCGAAATGCTCTCACATAGCTTCTCGTGTACAGAACGTGTCAAAGGAGACCTGCTGACTGCTTTCTCAGAGCGGGGGTGCTTTTTCCGAAGTTGAGAGGACGATAAGTGAAGATTCGGTGGTTTAAACGGGTTGGTGGACGTGGAGAATCCACATGAAGTTGGAATATCCTGATTTCAAACCAAGGGTGAACAAGGTGAGGACGCCACAGGTATTTAGAGTTTGACAACGCTTCAACCAGTAACACCTAATATGAATCGTACCCACCAAGTGAAATGAAAAGACAGAAGCGAGGAAATTCGAAGATATATTTGATAGGTTATCAATACATCGAAGATCAACTGATATAATCTGGCTAGCGATTGCAGGAAATGTTGAGCTATTTATTTTGGGAATTTATTTGCCACTACACATCACTCACCCCCGTAGTGAGGTAGTGATGACTGTAAGAAGTGGTCAGCCAGAAGTTAAAACCCAACGAGTTTGTCGTTGGTAAACACTCTTCTGAGAGCTTGCTATGTTAATCAGCGTCTGGTTGTCTTTCCTTACGGTAAGGGACCATATAGTACAATATAGTAATTAGGATTATCTTTGTTAACTTGTTGTAAAAACCTACTTCTCCATTGTTCGATTTTTACGTTAAACAAATATTTAATATAAGTTTTAGTCATCCTGTTTCATTGTTTTTTCTAATTGTCGTATTGTGACCATGACCCATTTGTTAGTTAAATAATGGACTGACGTTCTTCATAAAAACAAGAGTTTGCCAAAATAAACCACAAACATTCCACAAAGTTTCTTGTTAACAATCAATGCAAACATTCCTATCGGAGAACAAATATAGAACAGAAGAGTAAAACATCACATTTGTTAAAAACGTGTTTTTATTTCTAGAAGATATTTGAATAGAAAGTTCATTTTGTGAAAAGGATGTATTGTTGAATTATATTGATTGATAGTTTTACAATTTCATTAAAATTTAAACAATTTGTATACTATATAATTGCTGTTAAATAGATTATGCTGGTTATAAATTTATGTTGTAAAGACAATAAACTGCAAATATTAACGAACACATTTTATTCTGTCTAAAGTATCCCATAAATAGTTTTGAGTGAATTTTTGATAAAAATAACAAACTAATAAAATCGTAATCACTTTACATTATACAGAGTCAAAATCACAATTACCTGTGATATAAGTGTTATTCAAAACTGTAAAAGATTGCTAATGGATAGGATTCCAGCGTATTTTACGACCAACACAAGCGTCGTTCCACCATTTCGAAACGTTTGGGAATGTATACGTTTTCAGTTTATGAGCAGTATGTGCTAATAAGCATATAGCGCATTGAGGTAAAGGCGACCATGCATCTATGGTCCCATGTTCATGCCATGCAAAGTACTCATTGTATGCAGTATCGTTTCTGTCCAAATACTTCAAATAGTTGGCAAGTTTTTCTGGGGATTCAAACTGATCCACATGAATAAACGAATGAGGAGGAGTGACACGCTTGTACTCTTCATATGAGGCACCCATCACAACTGGAATTACATTGTTGCTATGTTAATCAAACAAACCAGATACAACAGTTGAATGCTTTAGTGAGGTGATGGGAATGACTAATGAAGTGAGAGAAAATAAATTATTCATCACAGATAATTACACTTAACCACCCTGATCTATTTTTTGAAAATGAGTGATTTGTCACAGTCTACTAAAAACATGGTGTGTCTTGTTGAAACTGACTAGACTTCATCAATTTTGATGTATTGTTGTCATCGAATAATTACGGTACTGCACTCATCTAACAAATCAATTTCACACACTCTGAAACATATTCATCTATGTTATTTAGCTCTTTGAATATTTGGTACAACTCTAAGTAAATTTGTTGGTCGAGAGTTAGTAGAGAAACAGCAAATGATATAATATGTTCATCAAATTCCACGTCAAACACATGGAGATAATACACTTCAGCTATCAATTGAAAGATGTTGGAAATGTAGTAAACAATTAACGATATTATTAAAATTTCATTGTTTACCTACATTAATGCATTTCTGTGAATCTTTTCCGTAATATAATCAGGGCATAAACTATTTTCAAAACTCAAGTAGAATTTATAATGCTTTCTAAGTAGAGAAAAACATTGAGCATCGACTTCTCTAGGACATGTCATTGTACCACACCCACCATAAATATCAACCTATGAAATAAATCAAGGAAAAAGCAATTTATTTCTTCAGCATTGAAAGAAACCTGGTAATTACAAAATAAGTAATAAACAAAAATATTTTGCAACAGGATATCAGAATATGTTATGGAATCTAGTCGGCTATAACGACCACGAACATTGTTACACAAAATCAAATTCAAGAGGTCGATTTGATGAATAATATTTATTGTATATATAAGTATAAACTGGTTATTTATAAAAAATTCAGAAATTTCCCAAAGTGAACTTGATGTTCTCAATTGTAAACAAGCTGGGGAAATGTGTGAGATGAGAGAGGGTTAATGAGGTATTTATGAATGTGGAAGGTTTTACTTTCATGTGTCATCTTACTTCTAATGTTACGAAGCATATAGTCAAAATCGACAACTGCAATGCCTATAACTATCAACAGGACAATACACATATGTATCTGGAGCAATGACCGCCATTCAGTGAGTGATCAAACTGAAAAGTGAGCACTTACTATGCGGCTGATGTGATGGTCATCACTACCATGAACATCGCTTTTCAGATTTATTACGCGTCAGACTACAGAAAATTTGAATTTAACGACGAAGTCGAAATCCCAGCTTTATACTTTGTCGATATTATGGTACGTTCCTAATATCTATTGAAAACAATCACTAAAGTATGTAAATTCACTTAATTTCGACACACAAATTGGCTCAATAACAATCCATATGGCAAATGAAAATTATCGTGAGAGTCATTTAATGACAGTCATTATTTGTGACCTAGCAGTTGATGAACTTTGGATCCAGTAAATAGAATCAGTGATAGATGAATGTTATGGTAAATCTCAAAGAATCAGTGGAAAGTTCAAAGCATAATAAGTAGATAAGGTTCAAAATTATAAATACGTTGCAGCAGACTCGTACTCACTTAGTCTCTTTCTTGTATGAATCGTTTGCGTAATAAATGTTTTACGCACTATACTAATAACTATTTTGATGAATGAGTTACTAACTATTAAAGCAATGAGTTGTTTTATGAATTTTAGTAGAACAAAAAGATTAACAATGTCTTCTCACTGTTCAATCAGCTTTTGCTCACACCATTTTTATATACATGTGGCATGCTGTATGTCTGTATGACCACACTATTCTTGGACTAAACAAATTGATGAAAATCTCTACAATAATCTAACCAACGAGGCTAATTTATGCTCCATCCACTTCTTAACTTGTGCTTTGATCTGATGAAAAAGGTTACCTGAAATACAGCACTAAAATATTTCATATAAGTCTTAAAATCGTGTTGTCGTTTGAGCTTGTTATGTATTGGAACCATTGTAGGCAAACATATGAAATGAAATCGGTAACTATATAATCTGGGTTCTCACTTGAATATAACGAGATAACTCGTTTGCGTAAATCATTCTCGGACTTTTAGGTTGACAGTTGCTTACAAACCATGCTACCATTTTAGATTTACCAGTGGCATAATTACGGGAAGGAAGTACGTATTTTGTATCTGGACCATGACTAGCAACATATGGGATATAATTGTGATACGGTAAATAAATTGTTGAATCCATTCGATAAGAGATTGTGTAGTTGACCTGAGTGAAAAACACCAAAATATACTAAACATTTAGATATGTGAAGAATAATTTTAAAATGCCAATACGAAAAATATTTCCACAGTCTAGTCATATACTGGTAACTACTAAATCGAGAGTTGATGTTTTCCAGTAAATGATTGTTTTTGGTATCCTTTGAAAAAGGATTAAGCCGCGTCAAACCGGGACATTTTATCGAACTATGAGCGCTCATGTCTCATGAATGCTTTTCCTCTTGCATCGAGTCGTTTGTGTCAGTGCATGATTTCTTATTAGCGAAAATATTTTGCAACTAATCAGGATAAACTTAATCCATAATACACATCGTTATTAAGAAGCAGTCATGAAACTACGAAGTAAATACTTCCAAACCTTACCATTGTCACTTCAATGTTTTTAAAGACAGTATCGCACAGTTGTATATTATACGATTTCATTAAGGTCTATTTTGAAATAAAGCAAAATACATGTATGTTTGTTACTGCAATGTCTCAGTTGAATTGTTTCATTCTAGTCAGTGAATAAACAAGTAGAAACTCATTATTACTCAATAGTGTCCTATTGTTCTAAACTAATGTCTCAATATCATTTGAGTTACAAATAATAAATAACAAATGTTGAACAAGCCACCTTATGCTAAAAACCATACTTGGATGTTTCATCTGATATTCTACTTTTAATGAATTTGTTGATAAATTTTACTTAATAGGATTCAATGCAGGTTTTAAGGCCGTTCACATGCAATTGACGAAACCAGAGGACGTATTGACGAATGCTTTCACATTTCCCAATATCTGAAGTAAGTCGAAAGTTTTTAACTCACTTCATTTTCCAATCCATCAGCGATTCTAATGTTTGGGGGAGATTCATGTACAAAAATGAACCATAGCTGATTTGGTGGTCTTGGACCTTTAGGATGCAGGTGATCTGTCAAGATTATAACATCGGCTTCAAGCCATCTTGATCTGTCGAAAATCAGTTCACAATCACAAGCGAAACATAAGGAGAAGTTTCGAATAATATTGATACGAAGGTTTCCATAGTTGAGAATTATTTTTCTCTGCAAAATACAATTAACCGAAGAGATACTTCATTCGAATAAGCGAAGGCTATACAGAACGATAGAATTTTGGTGATAATACCTACATCAGGCTTTAAAATATCCGTAAACATTAGTAAGTACTGGTAATTATTTTCATTTAGATAAGATTAAAAGTTGTGAGTGCACGACAAGTCTGACAACAATACACAATCCATAGACTTTATTTCTAGAGAAGTTCACTTGACAATTATGACTTATGAGGTATGATAAGTAGAAGTTTAGTACGGTGTCGTATAATTATCTGTTTTTATCTTTCAATCTCAATGAAAGTGAAACTTGCTGTAGTAACTTTCTAAATAAGTATATTGATCTTACGTTTGTCTTTACTAGCTTAAAACTGAACTAAAATCGCTGGTCTCACAATTGCATTCCATTCAAAAGTTGACTTAAGACAACGCTGCATATTAGTCATTTCAGCATCTGCAAACTATTGTAGCTTCACAAACCTGATTACGAAATATCCATTTGTCTTAAAGTTGGCTGCATCTTTTGAATAATAAAGCGGTTGTATAAATGTAGAGCTTGATAACAAGTTATTATAGAGAATATTCTACATTTGTATTTTCTTGTGGTAAAAGACCACTGCAGACCGCTGTCAATTTGATTATTTTTGTGGAAGAGACCTTTAGATAGCACTTCCAAGAGTATGAAGATTTCTTGTATTGACACCTATTTTAATATGAATTATGAAAACTTGTAAGCTTTCTGAAATCTAGTGACTTGAATAAAGCCGAGAATATTGAGTGGTTTTAATGTCCCAACAATATGTGACGCTGCTTCGACGATTGAAGCTGGGATGTCAACTTAGTTTAATGCTTCCTGACCTTATATTATTTACTGCTAATATAGTTTTAGTTCAATTGAAATTGTGTCCAACTCTGATTGATAAACAGACACAGAAATTTCTTTTTCATAATAATGTTGACTAAACAACCAGAACATCAGTACAACTTGAGTGTATGCAATATCATAATTAGGTAAAAAAAGATAGTCTGAAATAAGAATATCGTGATTAATTCATTCGTATTGTTAAGCAAAAATAGGGTCAGAGTGATTATGATACAATGTATAGAACAAAATGAGAAGTCCTGTCAACTGAAGCAATTACCATCAAAATCTAGTAGAAAAGTCATTCTAAAAAACTCACGGCAGATGGAGTAGATTTCACTTCATATAATTTTTTCAAGATCTTTCTCAGTAAATCCGAGTGTAATTTTATTTTCATACCTCGTCATTTGTGATGCAATATAATAGGTCTGATTTGAATTACGCGCTGAACTTGAATAACTTTCACGTGGTAATACATTGTAGGAGAAACCATCATCATTTCGTGATAAGCCGAATTGTTCCTTCCATTTAAATTGAAAAAGTAATTTTGTCAGTTGATAACTTGTGCATACTATGATTGCAAGTTGAACTGCCAGTACAACTAAACGCCTAACACGCTTCATGAGGAAATGGAATTGACGAAATGCCTGATTCGATCTTCTGTAAGTAAGTTAGCAATTATGCGGAGGGTTATACTATAACGGACCAACTACTCAGAGCTTCTTAGATTTCAGTGTTTTGTCTAGCTAACAACAGCTAGTGAATGAAACTGTGGGAAATCAACCAATTTCGTGACTGAATAGCTTCATCTATGTTGCTGGTATAAAATAAGTTATGACAATTACTGTTCGTCATTTGCTCATTTCATTTTAACGCAAATTTTAAAAATGTTTAGATATTAGTCGGTTTTACATGTGAATACGTGTGTACAGAATGAGTATTTTGTCTGAACACTAATTTCAGTGGTCATTTAGTCACTTTAGTACTAACTTTTTTTTATGTATTTGACAAAATTTAATGAATCAATTAGGAGAAACATCTGGCAATTATCTTCCTGTTTTCATCATAATACATCTAGTGTTAAATAACAATAACGTTTGCCAGTTTCTCAGTATTGGTAGGATGATAAGAATCACTCTTCGATATCCCCATTCCTATTACATTCACTGAAACTTAATGGTTATTGACGTTGATCAACCTTCCACTAACATAATTTCTAATATCCAAAACTAATGCTCACTATCTCAGTGATTAGTGAAGAGATACGAGCAGATAAACATGCTAATTCCGTTGCATATTGACATTAGTCAGAAACTCCATGTTAGAATAGTAACTGCCATAAGTATTTTATTACATGAGTATCGCTGAATCATCTTCACGTTAGGTATGATAATTAGTCAACGTGAATTTACCCGATATATTAGAATTTTACGTGAAGTGAATTTAGGGTCACAACAATGCTGTCTCGATTTGAATGTTCAAAATCAAATGATGCTTGTCTTTTTCATTCATATCCTCGAGGCTTTAAGATTAGATGTCATAATCTTCCAGAAATCATTATAGCTTCCAGATGGAGCTCGTATTCCGAAAGAAGAAATGAAACCAACAGAGATAGGGATGTTCTTACAAAGCTAGAAGTAATCTACGGAAAGCAATTTTATGTAGACGTTTCCATACAATTTAAAAATTTATGAAATTAGTCATAAATAAATTACAACGGACTTGTTGATGATTCATTTTTACTCAACTGTTTATTTGGATGTATGAAATATATTCAAACCACATTTCAATTCTCTTTGATAAAAATGAATACTGTTATCCAAATTGAAATATAATAGTTATGAAAAACAGACTAATTGGTAAATTAAACATACCTGTTATTTTGTAGTGAACCCATTGAACTATTGTATTATTTGTGCAGTACAATGTAATTTAAGCATCTATTCCAGTATATAAATTAATGTGTGAGTTTATTGAGCTCATGTCTGCACATCAATATTCATTTATTCTCTCATTGGTTGTAAACACAAACAATCAATAATTTATTTACAACCAATTAACACTCGTAAGTAAACATGGTTTTGAGTTTGCTTACATTGTTCCTATTCGTTTCTTTTCCACTCTTTTGTATATTGTTTTGTACTACTTATTTATATTCAATAAGCAGTTGTTACGCAAGTTGTAGTGCATTATTCTGAATTGTTCACATATATTTATGACGTTTATTGTACTTATCATTGTATTATTACTTTGTCTTAATCACTGTAGCGGTTATCCACAGTTTCGTGCATTTGTTTAAACGCAACACTTTTCACATAGTTTTGCTCTTGGTTCGGGTTTCGGTTGTTCATAAACTGGAATCAAATTTAAACACAGCTATCAGCTGTCCTTTGTAATATCGTCTGTTATAATAATTCTTTATGTTACTGTTACAGGAAGCCTTTATATTTTTATACTTGAAGGACGCGTTTAAGCGCACCAGACACTTCACAAATTGAGGTTTGTAACTAAATGTTGTGTATTATTCAATTGTAGACAATACGTTGTTTTGGAACTTTGGTTTCGGGCGTATCTCAATCAGGTGAACTAATCGCTTCGATAGATCTAACACATAAATTTCCAACACTCACACAGGCCATTCGGTTCTTTGTGTGCTTGCTTTCTGCACGCTGGTGGAATTTTGATAATCATTAGCAATAAAGCATCTCCACAACTGGTGTTCAGGCTTTTGAATAATCTCGAGATTTAGCCTACATAAATACTCAGTTAACGGGATACTATTCATTGCAGTCAGATATAGAGGAACTAACCTCTTCAGTTTCACAAATTCTCCAAATGATTATAATTTCAGTAGTTCTTCTAATAATAATCATATACAATCGGTAATCGGGATTATTCCGATATTTCCAAAGTAAATTTAACGAGTTCTTGGGTTTGACGGAACACATCTATTGTCTTACTAAAGAAGCAGATATTTACTTTAATTCAACAATATTCTTCATCCGGTCGAAGATTATCTCTAGTCACAGTTATGTACAAATTAGGTCCATCCCATCAACAATTACTCGATAAGTACCAAATGCAACTGAAATTGCCCGGTGTAATTAGCAATGTCACACAACTCAGGCTCGAGGTGGAACAATATATTTAATATGAATAAAAGGTGTATAACAACATTCAAGAATAGCCGAGCCATGCCATCCGATCAATTCGAATTAACTCAATTCATTTTTCCCGCCTTCTTCATCGTTCGGTTTTTTCTCCGCATAAAATGTTGAACATCCAATTCCCCAGTTGTCTCGTTTTTAGCTTTGATGATTGTGTGGTTACGGCCCAAGGGCTGTCACTACAGTGTCTTTATCGTCTTCGTTACTAGCGTTGGTGGGTGAATAACATTAGACAACATCCATTTTGACCCCTTCTTCTGTGTTTTGAAGGATGCGTAATGATCCTGGATTCATGAGATTTCCATCCTTTGAGTGATTTTGGCGGCTCTTTGGACGAAATCAGAGCAAATTCTTGTGTGCGCAAAGAATTTTCGGTGAGACTATAATTTATGGACGACCTTTGAGAGACGCTAAAATAACCTTAAGAGTGTTCACCTAATAACTAGGACCAAATGTGAGTTATAAACCAGCGTGAGGAATTAGAATTATGATTTGTAGTTGACGGTTAGGTTTAGGAACTATATTTTGAGATTTCATCTTGAACTGACACTAGCTATTATGCCAAAACTCGATTTAGCCAAATGGATGAGTGAATTTCACGCCAAAATTCGAGACATGTTATCATATGCTTGATTGGTTCATCCACAAATTAGTTTCGCCACAATTTTATCTTCATGACTAGAGTACGACAACACCTCTCCTGAAGCTAATCTTTTCTGTTCAGCGAGGGTTCAATGGGTTTCGCCTATCCCAATAACCACTAAGTTGTATCGCCTCATTTGCGCAGCCATTTGGTTGTTCCTCTTGATTACCATGAGGCGTCGTAACTCTTTTAAATGAAGACACTTCAAATCGGATGATCGAGTTTAAGTATTTTTAATTGTTTTGATTCTGGTTAGGATTTGTTTCGGGGTTGTGTTCAATGGGATGGGGTTGCTGACTTCATGCTCAACCTTCTTACTTTACGCGACTCGGGACCAGCAGTAACCACAGGAAAGCTACAGATGTAGTTACTTTTCATTATCGACTTCCCCCAAGTGCCGTGGTATGAACGAGGGTGGAGAAATTCAGATCTCCTCGAAATGCTCTCACATAGCTTCTCGTATACAGAACCTGTCAAAGAAGACCTCCTCACTGCTTTCTCAGAGCGGGGGTGCTTTTTACGAAGTTGAGAGGACGATAAGTGAAGATTCGGTGGTTTAAACGGGTTGGTGGACGTGGAGAATCCACATGAAGTTGGAATATCCTGATTTCAAACCAAGGGTGAACAAGGTGAGGACGCCACAGGTATTTAGAGTTTGACAACGCTTCAACCAGTAACACCTAATATGAATCGTACCCACCAAGTGAAATGAAAAGACAGAAGCGAGGAAATTCGAAGATATATTTGATAGGTTATCAATACATCGAAGATCAACTGATATAATCTGGCTAGCGATTGCAGGAAATGTTGAGCTATTTATTTTGGGAATTTATTTGCCACTACACATCACTCACCCCCGTAGTGAGGTAGTGATGACTGTAAGAAGTGGTCAGCCAGAAGTTAAAACCCAACGAGTTTGTCGTTGGTAAACACTCTTCTGAGAGCTTGCTATGTTAATCAGCGTCTGGTTGTCTTTCCTTACGGTAAGGGACCATATAGTACAATATAGTAATTAGGATTATCTTTGTTAACTTGTTGTAAAAACCTACTTCTCCATTGTTCGATTTTTACGTTAAACAAATATTTAATATAAGTTTTAGTCATCCTGTTTCATTGTTTTTTCTAATTGTCGTATTGTGACCATGACCCATTTGTTAGTTAAATAATGGACTGACGTTCTTCATGAAAACAAGAGTTTGCCAAAATAAACCACAAACATTCCACAAAGTTTCTTGTTAACAATCAATGCAAACATTCCTATCGGAGAACAAATATAGAACAGAAGAGTAAAACATCACATTTGTTAAAAACGTGTTTTTATTTCTAGAAGATATTTGAATAGAAAGTTCATTTTGTGAAAAGGATGTATTGTTGAATTATATTGATTGATAGTTTTACAATTTCATTAAAATTTAAACAATTTGTATACTATATAATTGCTGTTAAATAGATTATGCTGGTTATAAATTTATGTTGTAAAGACAATAAACTGCAAATATTAACGAACACATTTTATTCTGTCTAAAGTATCCCATAAATAGTTTTGAGTGAATTTTTGATAAAAATAACAAACTAATAAAATCGTAATCACTTTACATTATACAGAGTCAAAATCACAATTACCTGTGATATAAGTGTTATTCAAAACTGTAAAAGATTGCTAATGGATAGGATTCCAGCGTATTTTACGACCAACACAAGCATCGTTCCACCATTTCGAAACGTTTGGGAATGTATACGTTTTCAGTTTATGAGCAGTATGTGCTAATAAGCATATAGCGCATTGAGGTAAAGGCGACCATGCATCTATGGTCCCATGTTCATGCCATGCAAAGTACTCATTGTATGCAGTATCGTTTCTGTCCAAATACTTCAAATAGTTGGCAAGTTTTTCTGGGGATTCAAACTGATCCACATGAATAAACGAATGAGGAGGAGTGACACGCTTGTACTCTTCATATGAGGCACCCATCACAACTGGAATTACATTGTTGCTATGTTAATCAAACAAACCAGATACAACAGTTGAATGCTTTAGTGAGGTGATGGGAATGACAAATGAAGTGAGAGAAAATAAATTATTCATCACAGATAATTACACTTAACCACCCTGATCTATTTTTTGAAAATGAGTGATATGTCACAGTCTACTAAAAACATGGTGTGTCTTGTTGAAACTGACTAGACTTCATCAATTTTGATGTATTGTTGTCATCGAATAATTACGGTACTGCACTCATCTAACAAATCAATTTCACACACTCTGAAACATATTCATCTATGTTATTTAGCTCTTTGAATATTTGGTACAACTCTAAGTAAATTTGTTGGTCGAGAGTTAGTAGAGAAACAGCAAATGATATAATATGTTCATCAAATTCCACGTCAAACACATGGAGATAATACACTTCAGCTATCAATTGAAAGATGTTGGAAATGTAGTAAACAATTAACGATATTATTAAAATTTCATTGTTTACCTACATTAATGCATTTCTGTGAATCTTTTCCGTAATATAATCAGGGCATAAACTATTTTCAAAACTCAAGTAGAATTTATAATGCTTTCTAAGTAGAGAAAAACATTGAGCATCGACTTCTCTAGGACATGTCATTGTACCACACCCACCATAAATATCAACCTATGAAATAAATCAAGGAAAAAGCAATTTATTTCTTCAGCATTGAAAGAAACCTGGTAATTACAAAATAAGTAATAAACAAAAATATTTTGCAACAGGATATCAGAATATGTTATGGAATCTAGTCGGCTATAACGACCACGAACATTGTTACACAAAATCAAATTCAAGAGGTCGATTTGATGAATAATATTTATTGTATATATAAGTATAAACTGGTTATTTATAAAAAATTCAGAAATTTTCCAAAGTGAACTTGATGTTCTCAATTGTAAACAAGCTGGGGAAATGTGTGAGATGAGAGAGGGTTAATGAGGTATTTATGAATGTGGAAGGTTTTACTTTCATGTGTCATCTTACTTCTAATGTTACGAAGCATATAGTCAAAATCGACAACTGCAATGCCTATAACTATCAACAGGACAATACACATATGTATCTGGAGCAATGACCGCCATTCAGTGAGTGATCAAACTGAAAAGTGAGCACTTACTATGCGGCTGATGTGATGGTCATCACTACCATGAACATCGCTTTTCAGATTTATTACGCGTCAGACTACAGAAAATTTGAATTTAACGACGAAGTCGAAATCCCAGCTTTATACTTTGTCGATATTATGGTACGTTCCTAATATCTATTGAAAACAATCACTAAAGTATGTAAATTCACTTAATTTCGACACACAAATTGGCTCAATAACAATCCATATGGCAAATGAAAATTATCGTGAGAGTCATTTAATGACAGTCATTATTTGTGACCTAGCAGTTGATGAACTTTGGATCCAGTAAATAGAATCAGTGATAGATGAATGTTATGGTAAATCTCAAAGAATCAGTGGAAAGTTCAAAGCATAATAAGTAGATAAGGTTCAAAATTATAAATACGTTGCAGCAGACTCGTACTCACTTAGTCTCTTTCTTGTATGAATCGTTTGCGTAATAAATGTTTTACGCACTATACTAATAACTATTTTGATGAATGAGTTACTAACTATTAAAGCAATGAGTTGTTTTATGAATTTTAGTAGAACAAAAAGATTAACAATGTCTTCTCACTGTTCAATCAGCTTTTGCTCACACCATTTTTATATACATGTGGCATGCTGTATGTCTGTATGACCACACTATTCTTGGACTAAACAAATTGATGAAAATCTCTACAATAATCTAACCAACGAGGCTAATTTATGCTCCATCCACTTCTTAACTTGTGCTTTGATCTGATGAAAAAGGTTACCTGAAATACAGCACTAAAATATTTCATATAAGTCTTAAAATCGTGTTGTCGTTTGAGCTTGTTATGTATTGGAACCATTGTAGGCAAACATATGAAATGAAATCGGTAACTATATAATCTGGGTTCTCACTTGAATATAACGAGATAACTCGTTTACGTAAATCATTCTCGGACTTTTAGGTTGACAGTTGCTTACAAACCATGCTACCATTTTAGATTTACCAGTGGCATAATTACGGGAAGGAAGTACGTATTTTGTATCTGGACCATGACTAGCAACATATGGGATATAATTGTGATACGGTAAATAAATTGTTGAATCCATTCGATAAGAGATTGTGTAGTTGACCTGAGTGAAAAACACCAAAATATACTAAACATTTAGATATGTGAAGAATAATTTTAAAATGCCAATACGAAAAATATTTCCACAGTCTAGTCATATACTGGTAACTACTAAATCGAGAGTTGATGTTTTCCAGTAAATGATTGTTTTTGGTATCCTTTGAAAAAGGATTAAGCCGCGTCAAACCGGGACATTTTATCGAACTATGAGCGCTCATGTCTCATGAATGCTTTTCCTCTTGCATCGAGTCGTTTGTGTCAGTGCATGATTTCTTATTAGCGAAAATATTTTGCAACTAATCAGGATAAACTTAATCCATGATACACATCGTTATTAAGAAGCAGTCATGAAACTACGAAGTAAATACTTCCAAACCTTACCATTGTCACTTCAATGTTTTTAAAGACAGTATCGCACAGTTGTATATTATACGATTTCATTAAGGTCTATTTTGAAATAAAGCAAAATACATATATGTTTGTTACTGCAATGTCTCAGGAGATGGATATTGATGTAGATGACTGTAAATTTCGTAATATTATTGACATTATTCTTGATGTAATACAGTTTTACCGATATATATGCAGTTAAAGTTTGCGCGACTAGGTAATTGTCAGATAAGGCGTCTAAAATTGGAATTGAATTAAAATATCACCCCATACAAATTGCACACTTTTGAATTTACATGCTTCACAGTGGCACATGTATAAAGTAATAATAAACCCACTGGATGTTGAAAAATATTTGGGACATCACAGTGAGATATTCGTTCAAGTTAATCTCTGAGTTGTTAATGCTTCTTTAGTTTCCGAACTTATCCTCAGTTTGAAAATATTGTTCTGTTTTGGTTTCCAGGATATGAGTAAACTCTTGAACATATTTATAGATCAAGTGTTATTTATCTCGAGGCCTCACTGTTACCAACCCTCTTGTTCCCACCATCTGATTGAGTGGTTTGTTTCACTAACCAAAACTTTCGAAGGAATGACAGTCTTGGGTGTTTGACAAACTGTCTAGTTACAGGACTTTTACGTAATTCCAGAATTGTAAATACAGAATATCTAGTTGCTCATTTGAAATGAGCTTTCACTTAAAATTTTATAGTGATTTGATTTTTTCCATAAATGGTCTGAAGTTGAATTGTTTCATTCTAGTCAGTGAATAAACAAGTAGAAACTCATTATTACTCAATAGTGTCCTATTGTTCTAAACTAATGTCTCAATATCATTTGAGTTACAAATAATAAATAACAAATGTTGAACAAGCCACCTTATGCTAAAAACCATACTTGGATGTTTCATCTGATATTCTACTTTTAATGAATTTGTTGATAAATTTTACTTAATAGGATTCAATGCAGGTTTTAAGGCCGTTCACATGCAATTGACGAAACCAGAGGACGTATTGACGAATGCTTTCACATTTCCCAATATCTGAAGTAAGTCGAAAGTTTTTAACTCACTTCATTTTCCAATCCATCAGCGATTCTAATGTTTGGGGGAGATTCATGTACAAAAATGAACCATAGCTGATTTGGTGGTCTTGGACCTTTAGGATGCAGGTGATCTGTCAAGATTATAACATCGGCTTCAAGCCATCTTGATCTGTCGAAAATCAGTTCACAATCACAAGCGAAACATAAGGAGAAGTTTCGAATAATATTGATACGAAGGTTTCCATAGTTGAGAATTATTTTTCTCTGCAAAATACAATTAACCGAAGAGATACTTCATTCGAATAAGCGAAGGCTATACAGAACGATAGAATTTTGGTGATAATACCTACATCAGACTTTAAAATATCCGTAAACATTAGTAAGTACTGGTAATTATTTTCATTTAGATAAGATTAAAAGTTGTGAGTGCACGACAAGTCTGACAACAATACACAATCCATAGACTTTATTTCTAGAGAAGTTCACTTGACAATTATGACTTATGAGGTATGATAAGTAGAAGTTTAGTACGGTGTCGTATAATTATCTGTTTTTATCTTTCAATCTCAATGAAAGTGAAACTTGCTGTAGTAACTTTCTAAATAAGTATATTGATCTTATGTTTGTCTTTACTAGCTTAAAACTGAACTAAAATCGCTGGTCTCACAATTGCATTCCATTCAAAAGTTGACTTAAGACAACGCTGCATATTAGTCATTTCAGCATCTGCAAACTATTGTAGCTTCACAAACCTGATTACGAAATATCCATTTGTCTTAAAGTTGGCTGCATCTTTTGAATAATAAAGCGGTTGTATAAATGTAGAGCTTGATAACAAGTTATTATAGAGAATATTCTACATTTGTATTTTCTTGTGGTAAAAGACCACTGCAGACCGCTGTCAATTTGATTATTTTTGTGGAAGAGACCTTTAGATAGCACTTCCAAGAGTATGAAGATTTCTTGTATTGACACCTATTTTAATATGAATTATGAAAACTTGTAAGCTTTCTGAAATCTAGTGACTTGAATAAAGCCGAGAATATTGAGTGGTTTTAATGTCCCAACAATATGTGACGCTGCTTCGACGATTGAAGCTGGGATGTCAACTTAGTTTAATGCTTCCTGACCTTATATTATTTACTGCTAATATAGTTTTAGTTCAATTGAAATTGTGTCCAACTCTGATTGATAAACAGACACAGAAATTTCTTTTTCATAATAATGCTGACTAAACAACCAGAACATCAGTACAACTTGAGTGTATGCAATATCATAATTAGGTAAAAAAAGATAGTCTGAAATAAGAATATCGTGATTAATTCATTCGTATTGTTAAGCAAAAATAGGGTCAGAGTGATTATGATACAATGTATAGAACAAAATGAGAAGTCCTGTCAACTGAAGCAATTACCATCAAAATCTAGTAGAAAAGTCATTCTAAAAAACTCACGGCAGATGGAGTAGATTTCACTTCATATAATTTTTCAAGATCTTTCTCAGTAAATCCGAGTGTAATTTTATTTTCATACCTCGTCATTTGTGATGCAATATAATAGGTCTGATTTGAATTACGCGCTGAACTTGAATAACTTTCACGTGGTAATATATTGTAGGAGAAACCATCATCATTTCGTGATAAGCCGAATTGTTCCTTCCATTTAAATTGAAAAAGTAATTTTGTCAGTTGATAACTTGTGCATACTATGATTGCAAGTTGAACTGCCAGTACAACTAAACGCCTAACACGCTTCATGAGGAAATGGAATTGACGAAATGCCTGATTCGATCTTCTGTAAGTAAGTTAGCAATTATGCGGAGGGTTATACTATAACGGACCAACTACTCAGAGCTTCTTAGATTTCAGTGTTTTGTCTAGCTAACAACAGCTAGTGAATGAAACTGTGGGAAATCAACCAATTTCGTGACTGAATAGCTTCATCTATGTTGCTGGTATAAAATAAGTTATGACAATTACTGTTCGTCATTTGCTCATTTCATTTTAACGCAAATTTTAAAAATGTTTAGATATTAGTCGGTTTTACATGTGAATACGTGTGTACAGAATGAGTATTTTGTCTGAACACTAATTTCAGTGGTCATTTAGTCACTTTAGTACTAACTTTTTTTATGTATTTGACAAAATTTAATGAATCAATTAGGAGAAACATCTGGCAATTATCTTCCTGTTTTCATCATAATACATCTAGTGTTAAATAACAATAACGTTTGCCAGTTTCTCAGTATTGGTAGGATGATAAGAATCACTCTTCGATATCCCCATTCCTATTACATTCACTGAAACTTAATGGTTATTGACGTTGATCAACCTTCCACTAACATAATTTCTAATATCCAAAACTAATGCTCACTATCTCAGTGATTAGTGAAGAGATACGAGCAGATAAACATGCTAATTCCGTTGCATATTGACATTAGTCAGAAACTCCATGTTAGAATAGTAACTGCCATAAGTATTTTATTACATGAGTATCGCTGAATCATCTTCACGTTAGGTATGATAATTAGTCAACGTGAATTTACCCGATATATTAGAATTTTACGTGAAGTGAATTTAGGGTCACAACAATGCTGTCTCGATTTGAATGTTCAAAATCAAATGATGCTTGTCTTTTTCATTCATATCCTCGAGGCTTTAAGATTAGATGTCATAATCTTCCAGAAATCATTATAGCTTCCAGATGGAGCTCGTATTCCGAAAGAAGAAATGAAACCAACAGAGATAGGGATGTTCTTACAAAGCTAGAAGTAATCTACGGAAAGCAATTTTATGTAGACGTTTCCATACAATTTAAAAATTTATAAAATTAGTCATAAATAAATTACAACGGACTTGTTGATGATTCATTTTTACTCAACTGTTTATTTGGATGTATGAAATATATTCAAACCACATTTCAATTCTCTTTGATAAAAATGAATACTGTTATCCAAATTGAAATATAATAGTTATGAAAAACAGACTAATTGGTAAATTAAACATACCTGTTATTTTGTAGTGAACCCATTGAACTATTGTATTATTTGTGCAGTACAATGTAATTTAAGCATCTATTCCAGTATATAAATTAATGTGTGAGTTTATTGAGCTCATGTCTGCACATCAATATTCATTTATTCTCTCATTGGTTGTAAACACAAACAATCAATAATTTATTTACAACCAATTAACACTCGTAAGTAAACATGGTTTTGAGTTTGCTTACATTGTTCCTATTCGTTTCTTTTCCACTCTTTTGTATATTGTTTTGTACTACTTATTTATATTCAATAAGCAGTTGTTACGCAAGTTGTAGTGCATTATTCTGAATTGTTCACATATATTTATGACGTTTATTGTACTTATCATTGTATTATTACTTTGTCTTAATCACTGTAGCGGTTATCCACAGTTTCGTGCATTTGTTTAAACGCAACACTTTTCACATAGTTTTGCTCTTGGTTCGGGTTTCGGTTGTTCATAAACTGGAATCAAATTTAAACACAGCTATCAGCTGTCCTTTGTAATATCGTCTGTTATAATAATTCTTTATGTTACTGTTACAGGAAGCCTTTATATTTTTATACTTGAAGGACGCGTTTAAGCGCACCAGACACTTCACAAATTGAGGTTTGTAACTAAATGTTGTGTATTATTCAATTGTAGACAATACGTTGTTTTGGAACTTTGGTTTCGGGCGTATCTCAATCAGGTGAACTAATCGCTTCGATAGATCTAACACATAAATTTCCAACACTCACACAGGCCATTCGGTTCTTTGTGTGCTTGCTTTCTGCACGCTGGTGGAATTTTGATAATCATTAGCAATAAAGCATCTCCACAACTGGTGTTCAGGCTTTTGAATAATCTCGAGATTTAGCCTACATAAATACTCAGTTAACGGGATACTATTCATTGCAGTCAGATATAGAGGAACTAACCTCTTCAGTTTCACAAATTCTCCAAATGATTACAATTTCAGTAGTTCTTCTAATAATAATCATATACAATCGGTAATCGGGATTATTCCGATATTTCCAAAGTAAATTTAACGAGTTCTTGGGTTTGACGGAACACATCTATTGTCTTACTAAAGAAGCAGATATTTACTTTAATTCAACAATATTCTTCATCCGGTCGAAGATTATCTCTAGTCACAGTTATGTACAAAATAGGTCCATCCCATCAACAATTACTCGATAAGTACCAAATGCAACTGAAATTGCCCGGTGTAATTAGCAATGTCACACAACTCAGGCTCGAGGTGGAACAATATATTTAATATGAATAAAAGGTGTATAACAACATTCAAGAATAGCCGAGCCATGCCATCCGATCAATTCGAATTAACTCAATTCATTCTTCCCGCCTTCTTCATCGTTCGGGTTTTTCTCCGCATAAAATGTTGAACATCCAATTCCCCAGTTGTCTCGTTTTTAGCTTTGATGATTGTGTGGTTACGGCCCAAGGGCTGTCACTACAGTGTCTTTATCGTCTTCGTTACTAGCGTTGGTGGGTGAATAACATTAGACAACATCCACTTTGACCCCTTCTTCTGTGTTTTGAAGGATGCGTAATGATCCTGGATTCATGAGATTTCCATCCTTTGAGTGATTTTGGCGGCTCTTTGGACGAAATCAGAGCAAATTCTTGTGTGCGCAAAGAATTTTCGGTGAGACTATAATTTATGGACGACCTTTGAGAGACGCTAAAATAACCTTAAGAGTGTTCACCTAATAACTAGGACCAAATGTGAGTTATAAACCAGCGTGAGGAATTAGAATTATGATTTGTAGTTGACAGTTAGGTTTAGGAACTATATTTTGAGATTTCATCTTGAACTGACACTAGCTATTATGCCAAAACTCGATTTAGCCAAATGGATGAGTGAATTTCACGCCAAAATTCGAGACATGTTATCATATGCTTGATTGGTTCATCCACAAATTAGTTTCGCCACATTTTTATCTTCACGACTAGAGTACGACAACACCTCTCCTGAAGCTAATCTTTTCTGTTCAGCGAGGGTTCAATGGGTTTCGCCTATCCCAATAACCACTAAGTTGTATCTCCTCATTTGCGCAGCCATTTGGTTGTTCCTCTTGACTACCATGAGGCGTCGTAACTCTTTTAAATAAAGACACTTCAAATCGGATGATCGAGTTTAAGTATTTTTAATTGTTTTGATTCTGGTTAGGATTTGTTTCGGGGTTGTGTTCAATGGGATGGGGTTGCTGACTTCATGCTCAACCTTCTTACTTTACGCGACTCGGGACCAGCAGTAACCACAGGAAAGCTACAGATGTAGTTACTTTTCATTATCGACTTCCCCCAAGTGCCGTGGTATGAACGAGGGTGGAGAAATTCAGATCTCCTCGAAATGCTCTCACATAGCTTCTCGTATACAGAACCTGTCAAAGAAGACCTCCTCACTGCTTTCTCAGAGCGGGGGGTGCTTTTTACGAAGTTGAGAGGACGATAAGTGAAGATTCGGTGGTTTAAACGGGTTGGTGGACGTGGAGAATCCACATGAAGTTGGAATATCCTGATTTCAAACCAAGGGTGAACAAGGTGAGGACGCCACAGGTATTTAGAGTTTGACAACGCTTCAACCAGTAACACCTAATATGAATCGTACCCACCAAGTGAAATGAAAAGACAGAAGCGAGGAAATTCGAAGATATATTTGATAGGTTATCAATACATCGAAGATCAACTGATATAATCTGGCTAGCGATTGCAGGAAATGTTGAGCTATTTATTTTGGGAATTTATTTGCCACTACACATCACTCACCCCCGTAGTGAGGTAGTGATGACTGTAAGAAGTGGTCAGCCAGAAGTTAAAACCCAACGAGTTTGTCGTTGGTAAACACTCTTCTGAGAGCTTGCTATGTTAATCAGCGTCTGGTTGTCTTTCCTTACGGTAAGGGACCATATAGTACAATATAGTAATTAGGATTATCTTTGTTAACTTGTTGTAAAAACCTACTTCTCCATTGTTCGATTTTTACGTTAAACAAATATTTAATATAAGTTTTAGTCATCCTGTTTCATTGTTTTTTCTAATTGTCGTATTGTGACCATGACCCATTTGTTAGTTAAATAATGGACTGACGTTCTTCATGAAAACAAGAGTTTGCCAAAATAAACCACAAACATTCCACAAAGTTTCTTGTTAACAATCAATGCAAACATTCCTATCGGAGAACAAATATAGAACAGAAGAGTAAAACATCACATTTGTTAAAAACGTGTTTTTATTTCTAGAAGATATTTGAATAGAAAGTTCATTTTGTGAAAAGGATGTATTGTTGAATTATATTGATTGATAGTTTTACAATTTCATTAAAATTTAAACAATTTGTATACTATATAATTGCTGTTAAATAGATTATGCTGGTTATAAATTTATGTTGTAAAGACAATAAACTGCAAATATTAACGAACACATTTTATTCTGTCTAAAGTATCCCATAAATAGTTTTGAGTGAATTTTTGATAAAAATAACAAACTAATAAAATCGTAATCACTTTACATTATACAGAGTCAAAATCACAATTACCTGTGATATAAGTGTTATTCAAAACTGTAAAAGATTGCTAATGGATAGGATTCCAGCGTATTTTACGACCAACACAAGCATCGTTCCACCATTTCGAAACGTTTGGGAATGTATACGTTTTCAGTTTATGAGCAGTATGTGCTAATAAGCATATAGCGCATTGAGGTAAAGGCGACCATGCATCTATGGTCCCATGTTCATGCCATGCAAAGTACTCATTGTATGCAGTATCGTTTCTGTCCAAATACTTCAAATAGTTGGCAAGTTTTTCTGGGGATTCAAACTGATCCACATGAATAAACGAATGAGGAGGAGTGACACGCTTGTACTCTTCATATGAGGCACCCATCACAACTGGAATTACATTGTTGCTATGTTAATCAAACAAACCAGATACAACAGTTGAATGCTTTAGTGAGGTGATGGGAATGACAAATGAAGTGAGAGAAAATAAATTATTCATCACAGATAATTACACTTAACCACCCTGATCTATTTTTTGAAAATGAGTGATATGTCACAGTCTACTAAAAACATGGTGTGTCTTGTTGAAACTGACTAGACTTCATCAATTTTGATGTATTGTTGTCATCGAATAATTACGGTACTGCACTCATCCAACAAATCAATTTCACACACTCTGAAACATATTCATCTATGTTATTTAGCTCTTTGAATATTTGGTACAACTCTAAGTAAATTTGTTGGTCGAGAGTTAGTAGAGAAACAGCAAATGATATAATATGTTCATCAAATTCCACGTCAAACACATGGAGATAATACACTTCAGCTATCAATTGAAAGATGTTGGAAATGTAGTAAACAATTAACGATATTATTAAAATTTCATTGTTTACCTACATTAATGCATTTCTGTGAATCTTTTCCGTAATATAATCAGGGCATAAACTATTTTCAAAACTCAAGTAGAATTTATAATGCTTTCTAAGTAGAGAAAAACATTGAGCATCGACTTCTCTAGGACATGTCATTGTACCACACCCACCATAAATATCAACCTATGAAATAAATCAAGGAAAAAGCAATTTATTTCTTCAGCATTGAAAGAAACCTGGTAATTACAAAATAAGTAATAAACAAAAATATTTTGCAACAGGATATCAGAATATGTTATGGAATCTAGTCGGCTATAACGACCACGAACATTGTTACACAAAATCAAATTCAAGAGGTCGATTTGATGAATAATATTTATTGTATATATAAGTATAAACTGGTTATTTATAAAAAATTCAGAAATTTTCCAAAGTGAACTTGATGTTCTCAATTGTAAACAAGCTGGGGAAATGTGTGAGATGAGAGAGGGTTAATGAGGTATTTATGAATGTGGAAGGTTTTACTTTCATGTGTCATCTTACTTCTAATGTTACGAAGCATATAGTCAAAATCGACAACTGCAATGCCTATAACTATCAACAGGACAATACACATATGTATCTGGAGCAATGACCGCCATTCAGTGAGTGATCAAACTGAAAAGTGAGCACTTACTATGCGGCTGATGTGATGGTCATCACTACCATGAACATCGCTTTTCAGATTTATTACGCGTCAGACTACAGAAAATTTGAATTTAACGACGAAGTCGAAATCCCAGCTTTATACTTTGTCGATATTATGGTACGTTCCTAATATCTATTGAAAACAATCACTAAAGTATGTAAATTCACTTAATTTCGACACACAAATTGGCTCAATAACAATCCATATGGCAAATGAAAATTATCGTGAGAGTCATTTAATGACAGTCATTATTTGTGACCTAGCAGTTGATGAACTTTGGATCCAGTAAATAGAATCAGTGATAGATGAATGTTATGGTAAATCTCAAAGAATCAGTGGAAAGTTCAAAGCATAATAAGTAGATAAGGTTCAAAATTATAAATACGTTGCAGCAGACTCGTACTCACTTAGTCTCTTTCTTGTATGAATCGTTTGCGTAATAAATGTTTTACGCACTATACTAATATCTATTTTGATGAATGAGTTACTAACTATTAAAGCAATGAGTTGTTTTATGAATTTTAGTAGAACAAAAAGATTAACAATGTCTTCTCACTGTTCAATCAGCTTTTGCTCACACCATTTTTATATACATGTGGCATGCTGTATGTCTGTATGACCACACTATTCTTGGACTAAACAAATTGATGAAAATCTCTACAATAATCTAACCAACGAGGCTAATTTATGCTCCATCCACTTCTTAACTTGTGCTTTGATCTGATGAAAAAGGTTACCTGAAATACAGCACTAAAATATTTCATATAAGTCTTAAAATCGTGTTGTCGTTTGAGCTTGTTATGTATTGGAACCATTGTAGGCAAACATATGAAATGAAATCGGTAACTATATAATCTGGGTTCTCACTTGAATATAACGAGATAACTCGTTTACGTAAATCATTCTCGGACTTTTAGGTTGACAGTTGCTTACAAACCATGCTACCATTTTAGATTTACCAGTGGCATAATTACGGGAAGGAAGTACGTATTTTGTATCTGGACCATGACTAGCAACATATGGGATATAATTGTGATACGGTAAATAAATTGTTGAATCCATTCGATAAGAGATTGTGTAGTTGACCTGAGTGAAAAACACCAAAATATACTA